GAACCAGAAGCAGCTCACCTGCCACAACAGCTCCATTTCAGGAGTAAGTCTGGAGAACTTTTTGTTAATGTCCAAATGGTTCAAGAGGAAAGCTGTACTAGTTCAGATCAAGGGCTGATACTGGTCACTATTCTGGCTTGAAAGCGGACAAAAGCAGCTTTCTCAGGAGGGAGATAAGGCAAGTATATGTGATACCTCCCCACTCTATGCTCTCCCAGACTTTAACCATTTTCCTCTAAGGGAGTTGTTTCTGCATCTAAGTGATTTATTCTGTGAATGCAGTTCTCTTAGAGACACTTGTCCAGTATCCCTTAAATTCACATGAAGTTTTTTTAATTTATAATGTTAGCTTGTAATAAGTTTTACTTTACAAATAACTACCTCTTCTTGATGTGAACATGGCTACTAGCTTCACATGACGCAAATACTTTGTGTATTGGAAGAGAAAGCAAATGGTTGAATACTTATACACTCTCTACACGTCATTTCACAGACACCCGTAAGTCATCCCCCTTCCCTTGCTCTGTAACTTGGCTCTTTTCTGGCCTGAGGGGTCTTAACTAACTCCACTGACTGGTTGACAAAAGTCCCCCCCCAACATTTGCTCATCCTTGTTAAATGCTTCTAATGTACCTTTTTGTGAGATGAAGGGACTAGAACTATATACAGTAACTAAGATATGGGTGATCACACATTCATGCTGTCATTTTATGATTTCTGTTACAGCCAGTTTCTTTTCCTAAAAAAATCTAACATTTGATGTGTTTTTCTGGCTGCCACCAAACACGCATGTTTTTAAAGTATCACATATCATAATCCCGAAGTCTCCTGCCTGAGTGGGAATGGCGTTTGATAAGAATATGATTAAGGAGAATTTATGAAGAAATTTAAAAGCATCTGCCAAGAGCTCCAAGATACCAGCACATACAGAACAATACTGAACAGCAGTTCTGGTGCCTTGATCTCAACAAAAAGCAAAGAAAGTAACAAAGCTAGAAAAGGTTCAAGAAGGGTAGCGAGACATCCAAAAACTAGAATTGCTTTTGCAGGGGAACGAGTATGAGAAGTAACCAAGAAGAGGTATGACAGAGCCTGTAATCACGGGTGGCATGAACAGCGTGGGCAGAGATCAACTGCTCTGTTTTCCAAAGCAAGAACCAGAAGGCAACAAGCGTGAGCTACAAGAGCCTGGTAAAAAATGAATAATCAAAAGGTGCTGGTTCTTGACACGGTGTCTAGCTGAGCTACCGAGTCTCTGTTGGTGATGAAATTCCATAGTGCTTCAGAGTGAAACAGAAAAGTTTATGGAAAAGAAACTCAGGGGGATTACTAAATACATAGAAACTGCATTGGATTCAAACAGTAAGGTCTGGAGGCTGAGTGGCTACTGAAGGAGAAGGGCAGTATGATGCCTTTTAGCCCAGTTCTCATCCTTTTTCATAAGCAGAGAGTAGGCTGAACCCAGAACCGCCGTTATCCTCCTACATGTTACTGACGAGACACTGACAGTTTCCGGCTAAGGCGGCCCCTTTTTTCCCGTTCCCTCTTGCATTTGCTTGCTGCAAGCGCCCGCTGCCGCGGGTAGGTAACCCCCGCGCCTCTCCCGCTGCGAGGGGCGGCCCCGCCGCCTC